AGCGCGAGAATAAATGTTCTCAGGCAATAATATCTAAACAAATAACGATTTCGGTTTTGAGTGATACGACGTTTATCGTGGTCCATAAAACGTCCTGTGATGCGCTGTGTACGATACGCGTACACGATCGAACGACCAAGTAAACACGACCTCCGGTATCGTTAAAATACCCACACTGTAACTTATGGTTGAACCTCGTATGTGCAATTTGTTGGCGAAAATTAGCCCCACCTGCCTTACGTAAATAGACATCGGTAATGTCCAGCTATCTGTTAATAATCGTATTAAACGCAGTTTTCCTTCGAGACGAGCAACACTACGCGGCTTGGCTTTGTCTCGAAAGCCTCTGCTAAACGACGTCACTGTACGTTCAACGTCGAAAACGACAGTGAGAAATATTTTTACACAATCATGCGAATATATTTCACTGGAAGTACCGTTAAGTAGCACCACCGCTTTATAAACCGTGAGATCGAAAGTGTAAAAGGCAATAGTAACTGTGAGATCGCAAAGTCTTGGCAACATTTCCGTCTGGCTGTTCTCCATCGTGACGATCATTCGTGGAAGATTCATGCATCGCTGTCACCAGTCGACGTCGCTGTATTTATATAACTTGCAGTGTTTTCGATTTATCGCGCGGCGGGGACGACATCACCGGTTTAAATATTGCCGAGATAATGAGACCCCCGGCCGCGTAAAATATCGTAGTAGCGGATGGCGGAACAGGTTGCCGCTGTCGCGTATGGTGGCTGAAACTGTAACATAATCTAGCATGGGACGGCGAGCAAGGGACAAACAGCCGCATTTATCGGATAATGGGCAGATGATAGCGGCTACTCTGACGTTTAAGAACGATCCTTTAGTCGCAATTTTTTCTACCCTGTTTACGAGCTATTTCATTTAGAGGAAAACAGTATTTCTTTTCTTCTTTTAAGAATACTTTCATTCCTGTTTAAAAATGTATTGTGTCGTGATCGTTCTTCGGACATTCCGCCATGTGTTTGCAGTCTACATTTGTTTCATTAGCTAAAATTCTTCCTATTACCCTGCATTATTAAAACATAATTACTTATATAATATATATACATATATATATATATATATTATATTATATATATATATTATATATATATATTATATATATATATATATATATATGGTAGTTATAATTATTTTTGATATTTTGGAAAATCGTTGTAATTGAAAATGGACTCGATATCGATAGGTGAAAAGCGCAGTGAGTTTTGCACAAGCAGTGATTAAATGATAATATCGAAATGACAGGAAACATTTTTATTGTATTCTTTAATATCGTATACCGTAATTCCCATTCTTTCCCTGTCGTTAGAAACGCAAACGCTGATAAATCAGCGAAAATATAAAGCGAAAACTAAATCGCCTTCTGTCGTTCGTTTTCTTTCTTTTTTTTTTCTTTTTCTTTTGGTCGGCCTTTCCTGTGCTCGGATACACGTTTTCGGCAAGGATAACAAAAGGTGCGTTTATTACGAGAGGCGAATCTCCCAGCGGTGTTAATTTAGGCGAAATAAATTTAGACGTAAATACATCGACGCGACGGCCGAGACAAAATTTCTCGTCTGCCAGACACTGTCATGGAAACTGCACAGCTCGTCCAAAAACTATCCAACTGCTGTACATACACGCTGAAGGGGATATTTATTTCCATTACAATGATTGGCACCTTGCGAGGCGACTTGGTTCCCATCGGGCTCGAGTTTCTCCTTGAATGCGGTCGGTGTCGGTACCGAGAAAACGTTTTTACCCGTCTGCCCGTCGAATTACGTTCACGAAACGTCGCGACACGGCGCATTAAGCCGATCACATACACGTCTGTGCAAATGACTTAAAACGGTTCGGACTCGATTCAAGGGTCGATAAACAAGGCGTTCGTTCTTATTTTGATCGTCTTATAATTAATTATACTAGCGATAAGTAAAAGCGGACAGCGGATCTTAAAATGAAATTTCTCATATTTTGAGAAATATATATCGGGAAATTTGGAGACGGCTTACGATAAAAAAAGAAAAAGAAAAGGAGAAAATAAATGAAAATTCTAATATTTTAACATAAAGTAATAAAACGTGTCAAGCAGCTTAAGATATGTAAGAAATGAATGAAAATTCTCATATTCTGATATACGTATATGCAGGTAGATACAGAATTATGAACAGAGCATGCGTATTATTGATAAACCATTGTATAGCCAGTGTATAAAAAGTTGGTTCGCGTGAAAAGCGAACGGTTTCGAAATCGTTAGTTTAGAAAATATTTTAATCTCAGTATGTATCGCAGACTGATTGTAGTAACGATTACAGTTTCGAAAGAAAACTGACATCGACGTACGACGAGTTTTACAATTTCAAACATCTTTCACAAACTAATTATCCACATAAATAGGTTAATACTTTTTCGTATGTAGTACGTGATGAATTTTTACATGCCAATACCAGCTTCCAAGTAATAATAGGAATTTATTTTAAATTAACGATAACAATACGCAGACGATACAGCAGGCTGCCAGCAGGCTACAGCAGGCACGTAACGCGCGAATCGCACTGGGTCATACATCCGAAATCAGTTTTAATTTTTAATTTTTAATTCAGTTTTACTTAATTTTCTGTCCTCTACCGTTCGGTATAAATGGTAGCAATATGCCTGGAACAAGATCCGATCGTTCTGATTTTTATTCCAAACAAAGTGGCATAACGATCGACGAAGCAGCGGAGAAAAAACGGATATGGAAGGATGGAAAAATTACACGTGGTATCAGTCGCGGGTAATTTCGACATCAATCGTACGTCATTTCTGATCGAGCAATACATAATTGGTACCGTTGGAATGTATTATTACGGCACGAGTGGTAAATCGCGGCGAAAGTTGCGGCCCCACGCTTTTTCAACGACGCGTTCCACGATTATTCTCGTTCCCCTTCGCTTTGACTGCGATTTCCATCCGATATTAAAAGCGACCCAAAACGTTTGCCCGTCCGCGTGCATGCCATCTTCGTTCCGAAGAACGTTCCGTCAAGAGTGAAATTGCAGATTCGAAGGGAAACGAAAGGAAACGCTCGAATTCAATCGTCGGCAAAAGGATTTTTGTTGCTACAGTGATTACACTTTGGGGAATTTAAAGATATACAAATACACAAAACGTGGTATATAATATGCAGAAGAATGTAAAATGTCCAAAGTTGAGTATTCGTTAGAACGGATAATTACTAAGTGAAAAGGAAATCTATTCTTAGATCCTATTTCCTCGAGATGTTTGTAGCACGACGATATCCCTGAAAAGTAAAACGCGCTGAGACTCGATAAACCATGGTTTACACGCGTGTCTGCTGACATACTCTCTCTCTCTCTCTCTCTCTCTCGAACAAGCAAGCTCTTTGATGCCTATCGTATCTACCTTCTATCTACGCTAACAAATAATTGAGAAACGGACAGAATGACAATCTCACGTTATAATGTACGACATGTTAAACGTCGAAACTACAGATTTACGATTTTGTTTCGTACGATCAGCAATAGTGACAAGATCGGGGTGAAGAACGATGGCGTTATTCACGATCCTCGATAAATAACGCGAATTCAGGATCCTGCGTGCAAGACGACAAGAATATTGGGTTTCGCCAGAAGTAGGAATAGAAAGAGAGCTTATTGAATAAAAATAAGGAAAGACACCGGCAGTGGAAATAGACGATCGGCTATTGTTGACGCTGGTAGTGTGACGTGACACTGTTTTGGCAGCTAAAGCTAGAATAAGCTGCTTTTATTAGCAAGGTTCTGAGAAGAATGATCGAGTTTTCGAAAACGTACGAAACAATGCGAGAGAAACTCTTATCATTTGTATATTGTTTATTCCTGTGTAAAAACCTAAATCCATGTATTATTTGTAGTAATATCGTGTTTCTATGGTAATCGTGTCATCTTAATAACGAACAAACTCGTACATGTTTAGTACTTCTGTTTCTGTTTCGATAAAAATTATAATATCAATTTAGTTTAGTTTAGAACAAACTCGGTATATTTAATAATTATTCATTATTTATTTACGAAGGGATCTATCTAGAATGTCCAGAATGCATCGCAATATGCTAGGAGTACAAATGTACGTTTATTTATTATTTATATCAATTCAATTCAATTCAATCAATTCAATTTATATCATGTGTTATTTATATTAAAGTTATTTCACCCTGTATACTCAGTGACGAATGTTTCGATTCATTACTTGGTGGTCCATTACATTAGCGAGTCCGTTAGTCGATCGCCGTCGTACAGCAAATGCCAAGGTTTAAACTTGAAACTGATACAGTATATTCGGAACCTATTCGGACGTTCGATTATTAACAACAATCGAACAACATCGAACGGTAAAAGGAAACGAATATTTTAAATATACATAGTTAACTATATCATACCCTCTGTGTATTCCTCGATCAGGTTATCGTTTTTAATTCAACATGCGAGTGATATGAATTATTGAACGAATCGAAAGGAGATTTAACAGCAGCGAAAACAGCGACGAGTAATAACGAATCGATAGCATTCGCAACAATTAGCAATAGGAACGACCGTGTGTGGTACAGACGGTATGATGCACAAAAGTGCAAGTCCTAATACTTACTTATTAATAGTGTATTGTAACGTAAATACGTAGGTGATTTATATCACTTTTCGTATAAAACGCAGTCGCAATTTTACTCGTTCTATTATCCGAAAAATTCCGCAATCCGACTTTTCCCTGCGCAATTAGTTCGGATAGTGCAAGCTCTGTTGTACTTATATTCTAAATTAGCCAATTTTCAGCACTCGTGCTGATTGCAACACTAATAACACGTTTCGTCCGTACTGTAAGCTCGGTGCAGTCCTTAAACCGAGGCTGTCCTTAAACCTGTCAAACATACCGTCCGTATTCAAAGACGTAGTACTCATATACAGAGGGGAAACCTTTGATGTTTCACTAGCCGCGTGTTCACTCACCGTTCTCCACGTTCAACTCCGCGGCGGTTCTGTAAGACACAGGTCTGCCAAAGTCACTGGCGTCGCTCGGATGCAGCAACAACTGATGGGACGCCCTGGAATGATGTCTCGAGGTGGACGCCCGATGCAAGTGAACGCTGTTTAGGACGGTATTGCTCGAGGCACGACTGAGCGCCTCCCTTTGACGAACAGCCTCCTTGTAGATCTTGCAGTACATCACGATCATCACGAGACCGGGGATCCAGAAGGAAACCGAGGAACTAATCACCGCGTACGGTCGATTCACCTCGAACTTGCACACCTGATTCATCGACACACGCACAAAGTGTCAATCTTTCTTTTAATAAAGGGAATTGCGAGGAATTCGTGGTTTACTTTCTATTACGTTTTTCTTTTTTTTTCCTTTTCTTTTTTTCTTTTTCTTCTTTTCAAGAATTCGCGTTGTATTTTACGAAGCACTTAATCGAAGGTTGGACGTTAGATTGTTATAGGTCGTTGTTATTTTCATCGCGGGTCGCCGGATCGCCGGATCGCCGGATCGCAGGATCGCAGGATCGAGTCGGTCACATAGGAGCTCAAGGATAGGTCTGATTGTAGTAAGCAAAGAATATTTGTCTATCAGCGTGTTTTTTTAAAGAAATAAATAAACTATTTTGCTTGGAGTTTGTACGAGAACTTTGAAAGTGACAGATTCTTTAATGCAATCTTTTGTTTCGTTTCTAGTGGTGAAGTCGAATCTTTGACTAATTGGATAGAAATATATTTTGTCCGCGTGTTTAGATATATTTGCGGTTAATATTGATTGTGGCTAAACTAGAACACCCTTCGGTCCTATTCTATATAATTTAATTTGTAATAAGTAGTTATGAAAATGTATAATCGTAAATGAAAGATATTTTTAAAATAAATTTATTCGAGTAACTCGTAGTGGATTTTCTAACAAGTTTCTTTCTATTTGGAACGTATTCGAGAAAGTTTGGCATCTCTTTGAAAGAAGCAGAGTCTGATCGAATTCTTTTCTCTGCTTCTTTTCTTTAATCTTCAAACATTTTTCTTTTTAATAGCGAGACGAATCGGTCACGTAATTTCATTAAGACGTTCCGATGTTTCAAGTTGGTCCGTACATATCTTTCTGTGTCCTGGCTTCGAAAGAGTAGAAATAGCTTGGAAAAGTAGTATTTAAACAAATTTTAGTGACGATTAGCTTAGAGGTTAGCTCTATTTTGAACCATCAACGAACTTGAGATGCGTTAATTCGTATTATTAATTCTTTCAAGAATTTCTTTCAATTTTAGTCGATATACTCGATATTTCATCAAAAACAGTGCGAAAAACAGTACGAAAAATAGTACGAAAAGAAACTGAAACCGAACGATGTAACGATATTTTAATCGATAAAGTATGTAGAAACCGCTGTAAGCACATAGACTATGGAAGAGCTACTGTTCGAAGGACAGAGAAATATAAAAGTCGAAACCACTGGGAGAATTTCGATTAACGGAACGTCTATTGTGCGAACGGTTCATTGTACCTGCTGTATTATCGGAGCAATATATTTCGACCTGCCATTCAGCTCCTTTCTACGACGGTATTTTGCGGTAAAACCTCGATTAATCAGAAACTTATTAACCGCAGCTTCGATTGTTGGAAAATGATGTATAAACCATGCTATTTTTTTGTTTTTGTTTTTGTTTTTTTTTACTACCCACGTTACTTTTACTACCGTGTTGTTGTTAACTACAGTTAAGAAAGGACCATGATCCAATGCTATTGTCATCTTTACATCTAATAATAAAACTATAAGAAAAATAAATAAATAGGAGCAGATACATTTCGTTAAACGTGAAAATAGTAGAAAATATGTATTTGGATATTTTATTGATTGTGAAAAATGCTCATATTCTAAGGATATAGGAAGGTACAGCTCATTATTCTAAGGATAAGAAGATGATTGAAATGTAAAAACTGGGTGATTTCATAGTTGGAGACCTGATGGCGGTTTATGCCCGACATTTAGATTTAACTATAACATATTTCAGATAAATAGTTTAGTTTATAATATTTCCATCTACTAGAATACTTGTTTTCGTTTCAAGTATTGGTAAAGAGATCTTTTAATTTTTTTTTTTTTTTTTTGTTTTCTTTTAAATACGCGCTGGAAAAGTAAATAACGTACGACTTCTTTTAAACATCTTTAATCGTTTCGTGCTAGTAAACGCGAATACGTGTTAGCAAAAGATTTCTCTCGTCGTCGTTCTCTATAAAATTCTTCTACTCCAATTAAAAATTGTAGCCGGTAAAAGAATTGCTGTAACTTTCCAAGTATTAAATATGAAAAAAAAGATTGTACATATACTCTTATACGAGCAGCGCAGCGGTTGAACGATAACATGAAAAGGAACTATTGTTATGTGACCGGTGCGAAATGTGTTAAAAGAGGAATTTTAATACAATGTACTGTAAAGAAACTGGAATGGTTGTACAAAAATAGCTGTGATAACTATTCTCTGTTAACGAAATTGTATAAAATCTACTTTAAAAGATGCAGAACATTTTGTATAGTTATTATTACTAAGATATTCGTTTAAAGAATTGAATCTTTGATATAGGTACTAATTGAACGTTTAAATAGAATTCTGTATTCTGTGTTCTTATCGTTTTCCTTTTCTCTTTACCTTTCATGGGATATCGTGAGAAGGAAACGAAAATTAATACAGGAGAAACGATAAAACGAAGGTTGACAGCAGGTAGCAAGTCGGCGTTGGGAAAAAAGAGATACTCGTAACATTGGGAGAAATCACAATATAAATAAGATTAAGGGGGAATAAGAAGATTGAAAATGAGAAAGAGGAAATTGGAAATGGAAAGAAAGGAATTAATGGTAAGGAAGTAATTCATTATTGAAGTAATGAAATTGAAGTAATGAAATTGAAAGTAAAGGAACAGGAAGTTGACAGTACCGAAGAACGATGAAATCGAAAATAGACGTTGGACGGAATTGATTTAAGAACGGAGAGCTGAGAGGTTCTGAGTAAAGTTAAGAGGGATAAAAATGGGGAGAACAAGAGAATTTATAGACGCGAGAAGATATTTAAAGTACAAGTTGGAGATGAGACAACTTACCACGTTGACGAACGTTAAAAGTTAAGATTAAACATTGGGAACGGAAAGAATAAATCGAGGAAGGAAATCGTAGAATACAAATGAGCAGAAAAATATTATATTGACAAAAGCGACAAGACCGCTTTTCATCTTGAAAATATTTCGGAACGTAAGCGGTGCAACTTACTTGAAGGAGAAACAGAGGAGGATAAGACGAACCAGAGAACCGCGATCGTGCAGCATCGAACTAACAAAGCGGTAAAAATCACGTAAAAGAATCCATCGTAAAAAGTAACAAACTTCGACGAACGACTCTTTCTTGGCGTTTCATCGTCATTAATCTTCTGTATTATAATCAATTTCCTCCCCAGTTTAACCAATCTTACGGATACATACAAATTCGTAAGGAACAATCCCATTTCTAAGAAGAAAAATCTTTTTTTTTTCGGCCAATATGCGTGCTTATCCGCGTGATTTTATTGGGTTTCTCAGAAATAACCAATCAGGCCCACATTCCTTTACCTTGTCTTACCTTCTTCTAGTAGATGCACGGTACTGCCATCTGTCCGTCACTTATGATTGTGTTAGGTCTATCAGAAATAAGCAATCAGTCCCCCATTCCTTCGCCTAATCATCTTTTCAGTTGTCCGTTATACAGAGATCGTTATGTATACAGAATGCATTTAGGGATGTGTAAATTGTTCCAGGCTGTCCTAAGCCATCCTCTTTTCTTCCAAAGTAACGATAAAGCAAAAAAATAATGTGTTTAGTGAATGTTACGCGCACATTATGAACTCACGCTGCTCAATACCATTTTGGTGGGTATAAATGCGTTTCCATTCCTCGAAAAAATAAGGAAAGGAAAGGAAAGGAAAGGAAAGGAAAGGAAAGGTAACAACCAATCTCTGATCTATAGTACAGTTGTTACAGAGTTACTAGTACAGGTGATAGTATAGTACTAGTACTAGTACCGATACCGTATTCTACCGTTGTTGACTGTCGTATAATTAGTTATTATAGTACTGACCGAAACTGTCATATTTCGAATCAAGCGAGGAACGAATTTTAAAGCGTACGATTTCAAAACTTGGATAATACCTAAACGTAGTACTTGGACCAAACACGTAAACTCGATATACGCGCTATTTAACATCAACGCAGGATGAAAATTATTAGGCTATCGGATCGCACTATCGTACCGACCTGTTACGCGAGCATACCGTGTACAGCATTATAGTAATACTATGTACGGAAATTGTGCGCTGGCGGTATTTAATAGCAGCGATTGCATAAAGATTGGAAGAAAGTTGTTCACATTCGTGCCCCCAAACAGCGCGTATTAGAAAAGTCATCAAAGTTCAAGATGGCGACAGCTTTCTAGATAATTAGGGAAAATTTGTCTGTATCCAACCTTCGCTACCGGATAAAAGGATTACATTTTTCAAAAGTCGAAACAAAGATGCCGAAAAAACTATCCAATATCTCTACCTGAGGATTCTTCCTCAACTCTTCCAAATGTTCTTCGGTAGTGTACCATCCCATAAATATAGGGATGAAACTGATCAAAGCAGGCAGCAGCCAGGCACTGCCCAGCATACAAGTCACTGTGAGCCTCCTCATGATGGCAGGATACTCGAGCGGCCTGACTATAGCATAATATCTATCCACGCTGATGCAACATAGATGAAGGATAGAGGCAGTGGAGAAATAAACGTCCAACGAGCTCCACACATCGCACATGATCCTTCCGAACATCCATCGACCAGTCAGCTCGACAGATGCGTTGAAAGACATGGCGCAGACCGCGACGAGGAAGTCGGCCGCTGCTAGGCTGACCACGTATCGATTGGTTGGCACTCGGAGCTTCCGATGCCTTCTAACGCTGGCGATCACCAGCGCGTTCCCTACCAGAGCGGTGACGATAATGCTGACGATCGCTACGCCCTTGATCGCCGTCCAGATGACGTTTGATAGCTGGTAAATGTCTGCAGAAGCAGTGGTCGCTTCGAACGTGTCGCGAACGCTCGAGTTGAGCGATTCTGAAAGGCGGCCGATGCCGCAAGTCGTGCTGAGCCTGCCTATCGATCGGTCCACGTCCTCGTCCGCTGGCTCACCGACTTCCATTCCAGCGCTCGCTGCCTATGAGCATGCTACACGCCTGGAAACCGTTCGGGTACAGTCTGTTTCAAGTGTTCGAACACGAGCACGGCCTTCGAGCTTTCCAAGGTGGAAGACAGCTGGCGGAAGAGGTATCGACGGACCCGAGTATCGACGTGCATCGTGCTCTCGAGTGAAAAGCCAAAGTCAGGCTATCCGTGAGCTTTCACGGATGCTTACGGAGATTTTAGGTCCGCTGATCTGATTCACTGGGCAAGTTGGTGGATAGAGTTTGTTCCAGCCGATGCCTCTGTCTGGTCTCTCTGTTCTCTGGTCTTTGGGATGTTGTTTTAGGGCACCGCGGTATATCTTTGAATAAACTAAATAAGAGATTTTTATTAGTTTGAGTGACGGATCAAAGAACCGCGGGTATGGACTGTTTTGTTCAAGCTTTACTCATTCTATACGAGACAAAATCAAACATTTGGAATCGTTCTCTTGAAATCAAAATCAATGTTATCGATATCGATTGTAACTCTTTTTTATATCCACGGAGTTTCGAAAATCAGTTTCGCTCGCCATTGCGTCATCGAACAAAGATGTTTTTTTCTCTGCGAGATGGCAGAATTCTAAGCTGGCTCTTTTAACTCTTTGAGAGGGTAACGTGAAAGTAACTAGGATAACCTGTCAAATATCGAACTAAAAATTTCACACGCGTTTTAAATAACATTACGTGTAACATTTATTAATGATACAATCATTATTTATGTGTACACAATTTATTAATGATGTACGTGTATTTATGGTTCTCCGAGTTACAATCGTGTCTGTAATAGTACGTTGCAAACATTCCAGTTCACTTTTTCAGGGCAAATCTGAAACTGTATCGTTAAATACTGTTAAAAACACCGTCGAAATCCGAAAGAAGCCGCGAATCAATTGTTGTGGAACATCAACAACAAGTTTAAAATCTAAAACGATTATTAATATTCGATTACAAAATTAATATTCGATTACAAAATGTTTCCTGTCTGATACCGGAAAGACGATGAATCTCTATTTTCTGAATCATTCTCTTTAGATCGTCCGTTATTTGATCGCACGGACGCGATCGCACGGACCATTAGACTCTTAGATACCACGAAATATATGATTCCGAATATATTTGGCCGATCGTGCGTATCGAGCGTCTCTGAACGAATGGAAAAGTTAAGAGATCGTTTGCAAGGTAATTCCGAGCAAAAAGCGTCGTACGAACATAGATTCTATTCTTAAATATCTTACGACTATGTTTAAATTGCCGGGACCATGAGGCATGGTCGTATATAATAGCGGTTATTAAATCTCAAGTTAACGAAGGAAACACATGGTAATGTATACACGCGTACGTATAAAGTCTATGAACATGAGAAATGGCAAGAATTTTCCGACAGACGTAATAACACTTAACAAATGTTACTATCACGTGATAAAGTTACGAGATTAGTACGACGGGATTTTACAGAAATCCGTATAATAGAAAACTCGTATAATAGATATTTCGTTTTAACGATTAATGTACGATTAATTAAAAAGAAAGAAAAGTATACGTATCTGAAGACCTCGATACTACCCCGATAAAACTTGAAGCTATTATAACTACACGAATACCGAATAGGAATAGAATCACTCTGTTTATACGATGTTCTTTTATGCAAAGTGATCTCTTAAACGATCTTTTAAATTCGTTTGCGCTCTTTCTACGACTATCTACTTAGCATAACGAATATCTTAACTAATTGGAACGGTTTATCCCTTTGAAACGACACAAAATAAAAAAAGATACGATAAACCGTAAACCACCTTTCTGTTTTAAATGGAGCAGTCCAAGTCTTTTCTCTCTCTTTCTCTCTCTCTCTCTCTCTCTCTCTCTCTCTTTAGTTTCTTTAGTTTGAAAAATTAGTTTGAAAAATTAATCTAAAAATTAATGTAAATAGATATTTTATGTTTAGAAAAAAAAGATTCTTCTATGTTTAATCGTTTCAAAGTTATGACCGCTCCATGAGATATTAGTTACGTGAAATATTCTGCACATTTGCCGCGCGTATTAATGATATACATACAAATCACAATTCCGATCGGATCGATCTCAATGTTGTATATTAATATTTAAAAAAAATAACACAATTTTAATATTCTTAACAGCAATAGAAGCGTTTTGAACAAAACTCCAGATAGCATTGTCTTTCAATATTCAAACAGTTCGTAATTAATGGAAAGAAAAGACAAGGACAATGCCAATTTTTGTACTCGTGGATCGACTAATATACGACATGCATTCGTTTTGTCAGATACTTTGCTCGATATTCGTGCGCGACGTTATTAGAACTATCCGTTCGCGACGAAGGGAAACACTTGTCTTAATTTCTACAACCAAACTTCTAGGAACGTGAATTCCGTGTTTTCGGCAATATGAACGTCTGCGAACCTATGTTGGAAGATAATTGCACGCGAAGAAAAGAGAAGAAAGATGGCCGGATGTACGATAGGCGGATACGCACGTGCAAACTTTTCGCATAAACGTTCCTCCTGCTCGCAGCGACAGGGTACGCTTTTAACGTTAAAGCAAACAACGGTGGTTGGAGCACCGGGCGAGACAAGTTGTACGCATATTTAGCTTGGCCGAAAAACGTCTTTCTCTCCGGGTATTCGAAGCAAAACGCAAACAGCCAACGACCTGGCCTCCAATAATGTATATTATACTCGTCTGAAGTGGAATTACGCGGAGGAAGCAGCGTTCTCTTCGGTCTCCTCCATGAATATTTGATACTTCATGTGTATATGTGTATGTGTGTGGGAAAGGCAATAACGCGATAACGATTAGTTTGACGGTTTTCCGAGATGGAAATTTCGGGTAACAGAGTACTTTTCGTACTATCGTTATTAGCTTAACAACGTCCGGTGTTGTATCTCTATATGTTATTGAAGAAATTGAGAGACGACAGAAATATTTTAATAACGAATTAATGGATAATTAATGAACGTTGATTACGATGGGCTTACCCTTTTCAAAATCAACTTACTCTTTTCAACTTTGCCAGCGATACCAGCAACCTGTAGTCAGTTACTACGATAGAATCGCTTTTTATAGCATTCAAGTTGTAGAAGAAGAATTTAGTTAACATTTTCATGGAAAATATACGAAAGAATAATAACGAGTAATAACAACGAGTAATAATTGGAATACAGTAGCAGCTGAAATTTCTCCACTGCGATCTATGCTCCAAACGATCTAACTTCTGCTTCTGTTCCAAATGAACTCGCCGAGTTTCGCAACTTATCGCTCGCTCCGTTTACCGTAAGTCTAACCATGCGAACATTCTATCCGCAAACAATCCGGCTTCTCGTCATCCGGCCGGTCTGACGTAGTTCATCCGAAACAGCATTGCCTGAAACCACGTGCCATAACAGGGAAAAGGCAGAATCCTTCGCCCCGACCTAGAACCGTATTCTCCGAGCGAACTTCATAATCCCAGGTTGCCAGGTGTCAAACGGAAAATCGGACATCTAGAACTTGTCAGCTGGAGGCAGATGCAACCTGCTAGTCGTATCGATAAGAAACGAGTAATAAGAAATAAGTAAGGCCGGGTTCTAATGAAAGAGTCGGACAATGCTGGGTCGAAAGCCACTGGTGTTACTCCTCCTGGCAATAGTTAATAAATCGGTTAATCAATGCTGATTATTAATAAAATCCTTTTAATTTAATCGGCCATGTACTAACAGAAGGATCACGAACGAATCTTTCGTATTCGTCCTCTCGTGGTCTGATATACCTGTCAGTAAAATTTACTAACGCAAAATTCGCTACGCTATAGATTTCATCGTCTTTTATCGTTTTTTTATCGTCTCATAGTCATAAAAGTTTCATTCGGGATGATCAAATTTCTCACGACGGCCACACGCAACGAACGTTATAATCTGCTTCCTTCGAATTCATCGCGGTCACAGGAATGTCAACAAGTACAGTGTGAAGACAAAGCCTAGTAAGCTTGCTGGTGTAACGCAGTTAAGAACGAGCGAATGCTCGAATCTTCCCTATTACCGACGTCACGCAAGAAAATTGTTCGTCGTATAACCGTCTTTAACTGTAGAAGGTAAAGAAGTAAATTTTATCAAGGCGTATAACCGTTGCCAAAACGACAGAAAAATTGAGTAATAGGAAAAATAAGTAGCTTGTAATTTTTTAACTCGTTGCAATGCTAACAAAGTGTCGAAAAGTTTCGGCGAGTTATAATAATATAAGCTTTGGCGAGCCACTTTCAACGAATCGCAAACCAAATAATAAATAATTTATATGTATATATAATATAGACCGTTGGAATACCTTCTCGTTACTCAAGGTAACCACTCCCATTACACCAAATTTTCGCTGATATTTTCAAAGAATCGTCAATTTCCAGGGAAAAAATGATAGAAAACGGCCATCGGTCCTCGGTCGTCGATAAACCTCCATCGAACATGCATATTACGCA